CCGAACCACTGGTGTCTGTGGCGGTATGTATGCATATTCACACGCTGTGGCCTATTTTCATTAATATCAAGAATTTGGTACCGTGCCTCTCATTTTCGCTTCTTCTTTGACTTAGATGCCTTCAAGGTTATGATTCTTGTTTCTTGCAAAATCAAAAAAAGAAGTGAAAAGAGCAAATATGACTGCAAAAACTGCATCTTTGAGACTGGATTCACATCCACAGTCAGAACATAATTAGATGCTTCGAAGAGGGAAACTGAATGCTTAACAGTTTCAGAAGTTCTCTCTCAAAAGAATTCGGAAACTTTTTATGAGTATCACTAAATTATGAGCGCTCTTTTGGCTATTATCGACAGAAATTTCACTGACACAGCGAACATTCGTTATTTTGTGGTGCTTCACTCCAGAAGTCAATCCGGGTGAAAAGAAGGCTACAAAAGTACAAAATCTGAAGCAAACCGTAAGAAACCTACAAGTAAGGAATATAAAGTGACAGTAACCCATGTGTACCTGATGATACCTGTGAATAAACAACAGTCAGAGGCTTAACAGTTTTGTTTCAACAGCAGTAGGATCCAGAAGTACATCATTCCAGATTTTTCATTAAACTGTAGGTGCTTCCTGAGCAAACACCTGAATTCTTTCAAGAAAACGATTCACACAGCGATAAACGTCTATGCAGATTTTTCTCGTCAATCGTCCATCACTTCTATCACTTTTTTGGCACTGATAGCAACATTCCTTTAATTACTTGCTGATTTATGTCCACTATTAGCCACACCTTTCGTGCTGATATTCATTGTGAACTCAATTTTCTTTTCTAAAATACTTGTAATATTAACCAGTTAACAAACCACTTCACCATATGGGAATCTCGAGGCATTCTCTATCTTTTTTGTGTATCCTTAGTGATATCTGCAAGGGCCACGGGGAGCTGAATAGCAACGCTTCCAGCCTCGACTATAATCAATGAACCTATACAAACACCTAATGTTGAAAATCACCATCAGTCGCATGTGCGACGTTATGCTAAAAGAGACATCAATTGATTTCAAACAAATAAGTCAGAAACTTCTGAACAGCAAAAGAAATGACCAAGAAGAAAGTGAGCTGAAAGCAATATGAATCGGCCTCAGTGCTCTCCAAAGTAGCCATTGTGATTTGCGAAGCAATAGCATGCGTTCGGGTACAGTCTATCCGATTTCTTGTAAAGGGTGCGGGGACGAATACATTGGCGAAACGGATAGACCACTCTGCATTCGTGTAAAAGAGCACCTAGTCAGCAAACTTAGACCAAATACTCCACTAGGCACGTATAGGACGCAGAGACATAACGCGGAAGATTTTGAAGTAAGGGTTATGTTCCCCGCACAGGAATCGAAAACACAAGCGTGCAAAACTCTCGAGGAATTTTGGATTAATTCCAAGCATCCGGAAACAAACCGCAGAGAGGAACACCTTGTAATTACACATTGTGTTCGACTTTATTTAAATCGGTTGTTCTGATGGGGATGGGCACATTACGATTTCCCGTGAACCCCGTGCTGTTGGTCTCCACGCGACATACTCAGTGAAAGGCTCATACAAAGCGGTCAGCATGAAAAGGAGCTCTTGTGTTCAGTGTGTGAAATCCTGGTTTAGCATTTTCAATGTTTAGTTATGGAGGGGTTTGGCCGGGTAGATTGCTGTCAACTTGAGCTTTCCAGGCTCTGAGGAAGGCGAAAACTGCCGAAACGTCAACTTGTGCTTAAATAGAGAAATAAAATAACACTTCGTGTTTCCTAAACAGAAAGATAAAAAATTATTTACAATAGGCACAATAAGGGCAAAAAAGAATAATGTGATAGGGCAATCAGGTTGCCTTATCTTCCTGCTGATTGAAGTCAGCAAAAATGACGCCATGAACGTTTATTGATAAGCCGGTGCAGACCAAGTGCAAGCACTCGAAATTCATTAGCTACTGTTTCATTAGTCCAATATTACTGTTAATATTTTAAAAAATTGCTGTTCATATTTAAAGAGAAAAGCGGATAGCACAGTGGTAACGATACCGTCACCACGAGCATGGCGCTAATTCGATTCCACTCCAGGCCAACCAAGCCTCTCATCTTTCCGGGGTCGCAAAATTGGTACCGGACTTGTTCGGGGAAAAAAGATCACTCCTTACAATCCATCTGGAAACACTCCAACCGGGATATCTCAGGACTCCAGGGAGGATTGCTCGGCGAGCATTCTACGACATTCAAGATGAAATGAAAATACTCAAGAAGCAACCGATGCCACACGTAAAAGTTGGAAGGTTTTCGTGGACAATGGATGCGAGGAAATTAATCGAATGTGGGAAGTGATGGGATCCGCACAGCAGACGTGAAGACGAATGAAATAAAATTAAATTAAAAACTACTGAAAACTCTTAAAGAACTAGATGTATCTAATTTGAAAGAGGCCAGTAACAACTTCCACTAATAGCGATTTCCATGCATACCAAAGATAAACTACACAAATAGATACTACGTAATAATTTCATAAGAGCTACTTTTCTTTACACATTTGCAACCGAATAAAGAGCGTAGGTTTCATAGAATGCGGAAAATAACCGAGTCTAATAGCTTTAAACCAACATCTAGGATTTCTTAGCTCAGTTCTTCGGCTGAAGTGAAAATCAAAGACCACTACAATCCGCAGATGTTTTACCGCCAGATACAAGTTCTCTAATACTACTCTGTGAAAACTTGTATTGTATTCTGGGTGCCTCATAACCAGTGTGTCAACTGTTATTTACTACTTATTTTCTCTTTTTTCAAGGCAGCGTACGATGTGAAGTACAACCAGAGGGAACGAAAATTGCTATATACTTCGTCCATCTGAAAGCAACTCGATCGTACCGCCTTGGACCCGATGTTTATACGAGAATTAAAACCTGTAATAGAGCTCTAAATACGCGTGTGTAGCGCAGTTCTTAGAGGCGCTCTGCAATACGTATGGGTTTGTTTCCGCGCCCCAGGTTTGCCTTCTTGCCAAATCGGTACCAGACTCGCCTACGAAGATAGCAACACTGACTAGATACATCACTAGAAACTCCGAGTCATTGTATAAGTCAGATACTCATTCAATTACCCTTAGGAATGGTTGGTGACGACGGATTCGTGGAGTATTCCTCAGGGATTGGTCAACGCCCTGAGCTCTATCCTTTTTTCAATGCAGAATTTCCATCATGTTTGGGACAAGACAAAACTTCTGTTCAAAAATGCAACGTTGTAGTGTTTTCAGTCAACGATTTTCATTTTCTTAAAAGCGTTATTTTAGGACGACGCAGAACCCTATTGTTTGTTTGCTGATGGAAATGACTTTTAACACGGTGAGCAGTGCACTACTACTGGTGATCCCCTAATTTCGTTCATGTAACGTCACAGCACCTCATAGATCGTGGAGCCATTCGACATGAAAATGTTTTTTGAAGTACAACAACATTTCTATTGAACTAGAAAGTGGAACTACAGCGCAGAACAATTATTAGCCTTCATATACCCCTCCATTCGCTCAAAACTGGAGTGACTGCAAGCAGGAGACCTTATCGACATCGTTCTAGTCCTGAACCAAATACTGTAGTTTTAGAGACTTCAAAAAGTAGTAGGCCCTGAAATGGTCTGATTTCAGAATATCCGTCCAGGTTCTTAAGTATGAACAAGCTCTCCATTAAATGGTGATCGGTCTGTGTTGTTTCCTTAAGTGTTCTTATGTTAAGGAGAATCTGTTCACAGTTAGGATATTGAGGTTCGGTGAGGCCATCCATCGTGCTAGCACTGTGCTCGTGATGATCGGCATCACTTCCTGTGTGCTACCCACCCTTTTCTCTTAGACTACAATTCCGATCTGGCAACTCCCAGAAGAGAAGACGTATGGGTGTGCTTGCATCATTTACATATCTTACTCAATTGCCCTCAGTTATGATTCTGTCGGCGAACTTGTTTTTAACAAGGATGAAGAAAAAAGTGACTGAGACACCGAAAACCGTCACTTCCTTCGTTTCTGTCATAAGGTATAGATAAATTGTATGCTTCTGAAAATTTCTGCAACCAAGCCCTCACAGGCGGAACTGTTTCCGGCTGACTAAGATGTGATTAGTCTGCACGAAATAAAGGATGAAAGATAAAGCTAGGTTGATCAATCGCTGAGGGATGCGCCATGCATTCGACTTCATTAAGCATCGTTTGGAGATTATCGTATGCATATCTGGCCTTTACAATGATTCGCGGTGGCCTTCCGATCTATCGAGCCAGTGCTTCTATCCTTCTAGACAAGTCTGGTATCAATTTGCCGACTCCGTAGGGATGGAAGGCTTGGTGGACCATGCGCGCGGAGATCGATTCCACGTGTGTATCATAGTGGAGCCTCTAACCATTGCGCCACACATCCTGCAGGAAATAACGCCAATAATTATTTCATATAAACAAAAATTAGCGAAAAGTACAAGCATGATAAAGATTTTCGAGTACTTTAATAGAGCATAACATTTTTTTCTCATTTTGCTGATATTCACCTTTTTTCTTCATACGTTTCGAAGTATTTTTATGTCGTTTCACTCCACTGTCAGTTAGTCAGTTAGTCGGTCATTTCTCGGTACTTTTCCTTCGATTTTTCTTTTTATCAACACTCTGACAACTGGCTCTGATAATTTTTTTTTCCCATTTTACCATATACTGTCTAACGTCTAATGCTCCAGAGGCGGGTCCTCATGCTAGGTATTTAAACTGTGGTCCATAAGACACCTAACTATAGCTTTTTATCCTATCGTTTCGTTTTTTTTCCCAACCTCAAAGTTCCTTTGTCACCAAATTGCCGCTTAGATGGCAGTTCTTCTATGGACATTCTTCTTCACCCTTCCCTGCTTAGGAAAAGCTGCGTAAGTTGAATATGACTAATATCGAAATCGTTCCTTAAGCATTTACTTCATTTAGATGATTCAACATTTCAGCTGATCTTCACAAGAATTTATTTATATGCGACTTTTCAGCGAAGTCCAAAATGCACAGCCGTCGGCAAAGCAGAAAGAAGATATTCATGTTCTATTGGTAGCTGGTTCAAACGGTTGGTGGAATTACCGTCATCAGGTGCGTGCATTTCTTGCGCCATTGGCAAAAAAGAGACAAAGAAAACAAAGTGTATGATTGAAGAAATGTCTGTACCTGGGAATATTTCCATGTTTGTTATTGGTCGCACGACCTGAGATAAATGAAGTCAGTAGTAAGTGAATAACCAGAAACCAGAACTTTACCAACTAAAACATGATGCCGTTCATAGGCTGACGTCGCTCACGCCTATCATTTGGTGAGAAATAATGGAATACCTGAAAGCAACATCATAGTGATGATGTACGATGATATTGTCAATAATCCAGAGTGAGTTGCTGTACCATAAGCTTTCCCTTAATTTATTAGGCAGCAATAATTCGTACTTTCACGAAATTCTCGCTGCAGTGGCAGCAGTAAATATATGCGATGTTATACTTGAGACCTCATACTTCAATGGCCCGTCCTGTCCTCACTGATAGTGCGGACCTCAGCATAATCTCTAGTTTTTGGAAAATCGCTGGTTAAGCCATTGTGGAACCCTGAAAATTCAGAGGTCAGCCTAGCCAAAGTCAGCCCCAGGCCTTCACCCCACAAGCAGTGGCAGCACTTGTGGACCAGAGCGAGATTTGCCACCATGCGACTACTTTGATGCCTGGACGGTGGTAGATCCTAATATTGGTTTACTCTTAGCTGGACGTTCTGATAGGAAAACCGGACTCCTTCTCAGCTTGGGAGACCTTGACTTGAGGATGAATCCCACTGCTCTACATTGCATCCCAACACCCAGGAACACCTCCCAGTCACGATGAGGCGGTACACCATTTTGACGATGTGATGTCATTCATTACTACACTCATTATTAGCCTTAATGTTACAACAAACAACGTTATTACAAAATGACTACGATGAACAGATTGGTCATCTTCACATCAGGAGCGGAAAACAGCGTTCCTTTCACGCTGCTTCGTTGGACAGCATCCACCACTCACCGAAATGTTTGGGTTGTGCTGACTGATCGACAACGCACTAGGGTTCTACTGTCTACTCTCTTTGTCAATACACTGAAGCCTGGTCAACGGGAATTTCAGCTGGAATCCTAGCCTGTGTCAAAGTAACGCACCCAGCCTAACAGATCGGCGGAGATTCCTCCCTTCATTCACGGCTGGATCCAGAGCAGAAGCGATTTCAATAAGTAGCTATAAAATCATAATAAAGCTCTCGGCGTTGACCAATTCCTGAGAGATGCAACATGCGTTTCATTTTATTAAGTATCGTTGGAGGTGATTGAATGCATATCTGACTTCTACAATGACTTGCGGTGGCCTACCGATCTATTGCGCCAGTGCTGCTCTTCTCCCAGGCAAGTCTTGTACCAATTTTTTGCCGACCCCGGAGAGATGGAAGGCTTGGTGGGCCATGGGCGCCAGGTTCGATTCCACGTGTGTGTTGCAATGGCGCCTCCAACCAGTGCGCCACACCGCCCTAGAATTAACTGTGTCACTAACTGCAATCGCTAAAAATTTTAACTAACTTTAACTAACTTTAACTAATTGACTGTATCACTGCAAAACTCGGAAAACAAGTTGGCTTTCACTCAAATTGCGCTACTAATATTACTACTAGGAAACAGTTTTTCAAACAAGAAATGAACCATGATAAAATCGGCACCTACGAATAATCTTCCGCATTGAAACGTGGACTTTTGCAGCAATCCATATCCTGGAAAACTCTTCAACCAGCCATATGGCCCTGATGTCTATCACGGATTGAAAATCGACTACAGAGTAAGTCCGAATTTACTGAAATGTAGAGATTGAACAGTTGTACTGTAATCTACGATCGCTGCGTCCCCGTACAGCAACTGTATAGGGGCGGCCACATGCTCAGTAGTACAATATCAATCTACAACGGAAAGTAATTTCTAATCCCTTTCACTGGATTCCATTTTTACAGGGCGACTCGGTCAATCCAAAAAATTTCTTGAATGTTCTCCAAGGTAAATCGAATGGAGTATCAGGTGGCAATAGACGGGTTCTCAATAGGTGAGAAACGAACCCTAATCGAAACCTGTCATATTGCGGACAAATGCTGCTATACGTGAATTCAGCACCACCAATGATCGCGTCTTCGTCTACTTCACTGATCATGGAGCTACTGGCCTAATTGCCTTCCCTGATGATATAGTAAGCTGTTTTACATCCAAGAAAATTTTTTTTGCGACTCCACTATGCGATTGAATACTGATCGAAATTATATTAGGAAATGGCCGTTCTATCACATGTCATATTTCAGCTATCAAAAGAAGATTTGAACACAGCGCTAACTAACATGCACAAGGAAAAACGATACAGTCAACTAGTATTCTACCTGGAGGCATGTGAAAGTGGCTCAATGTTCGATGGAGTGCTAAAGGAACAAATGAATAGTTAGTTGTGACGAATTGCTGGGGTCGAAGAGTTTCCATTCTTTTCCGTTTCGCATTTCTGAGCCGATTTTGATTGTTCACCACTGCAAAATATCGGAGGAAACAGCCAATAGCAATACGTTTCGTCTCGCACAAAAGTGAATGAGAAGACCAGTCAATAGATGCAGTTCTTCCTTTAAGTCTGTAACAAAGGAGTTTAGACGCTTTTTTTTTGCGATTTGCTTCAGTCCAATGAAATTTCAACGTCATTAATTCCGATTTCGAAGTTCCTGTCCAAAAATATCGAAAATATCCAAATAACAATATTGGTATCTCTTCTAGTATACGCTATGACTGCTTCGGCTCCGGACGAGTCATCCTGGGGCACGTATTGTGACAACGACATGGACCTGCCGTGCCTCGGCGATCTCTTCTCGATTAATTGGATGCAAGATTCCGAGAAGGTACATTTCTACTGCATTAAACTTACTTTCAGTATAATCTAGGATAGTGTTTGAAAATCCTTACATAATCCACGAGTGGAAAGAGAAAAACGGTATGTCACTGCTCCGAAGATAAGGAGTTTTCATGTGTTTAATTAGGTGCAGTGTTAGGGTGGTATTTCTGAGGGACCAGAGAATCTAAAATTATTTCAAGGCGCTTTTATCTACTGTAGTGTGCTAGTGCCTCACCAGTTGCTGAAGGTTTATTGAGCAAGCGGCGCATCTCTTCGACTCCACTCTTCTTCCAGACCTGAACTGAAATGTGGTTACCTATTATCCAAAATATAGCTGAAAAGGCGAATGATTAAGACTTTAAGCTCATGAATAAACAGAGTGCGTATCAAACCAGGAAACCTAGCTAAGAGTAAACCAATACCAGTATCCACCACCGTCCTGGTATCAAAGCCGCATGGTGGTAAATCTCCCTCTGATCCACAAGAGCTGCGACTATCCGTGGTGGTGACGACCTGGGGCAGACTTTGGCCAGACTGTCCTCGGGATTCCAGGGGACTACAATAGCTTAACCAGCAGATCTCCGAAAAATTGTGATTATGCTGGGGCCCGCACAACAAGTGAGGACGGGCCATTCGAGTATGAAGTATCAAATATCAAGTGGGCTGTGAGCGATGAAAATGCTTAACGACGGTGGATTTTCCATCACAGTTCACTTTTTGATTAACTAAATAGTAATTGGGTAGGGTGTAGTAGCCAACATTCACTTTCATCGTATGGCTAAAAAAGCTCTCTTTTAATGACCTCATTATGGTAAGCAGAATCTTGTGTAATCACTTTTGATCCTAAATCTGTCTATCGCTCATATATTAGACGTTTATCGGAGCTTGTGAGGAAGAGCAGGAAGAGCAATTAGTGCAGTTCAATTCATATTAATGAAACTCGTCTACAACATTGTTAAAGAGAGGAGTCTAAACAAGTACTAGGTGTTAGAGGGGTGTTAGAGCTGAGAGAGATGCAAATCGAAGGACCCGGATGGTGTAGTGGTAAAGTGCGCTGCTCCTCGGTAAGGACAACAGCGCGTGTTCGTTCTCCGCTGCATACACCTGTGGTCTGGAGTTTTGCAAATATCTCAGCATTTCACACGAGTTTTATTTCGCAACATAACCTGCCATTAAGAAGAAAAAGGCAGTAAATAAAAAAGTTAAGATTGTTACTAGGTGTTACTTCATTCTTTACTCCGGTAAAGATCTATTACACAAGTAAAGTCAAAAATAGTTGGTTAGTCCAAATGGTAACTTCAGATTTCAGCACAACATTGAACTGGAGACTCTAATGACGCAATACAAAGACGTCAGAAGGCTAACGAATATGTCGACAGTGATGGAATACGGCAACCTTAAAATCACCAACGAGGTAGTTGCCATGTTTGAAGGCGAAGACGAAACAACAACCACTACGGCTCCCACGACCGAACCGAGAAGCAGTGAAGCGCCCACAACAACTTTCGCCGTCGAGGTCAGCCATTTGTTTAGAAAAAATGAAGATTTCTGCTCTTTTAAACGAGTCTTCCAATATTTGCTCACTTATTGCAATGAACGACAGCTGAGCAGCCAAATTTTATGACAAATTCATAACTTAACAAGACTTCGTTGTTTCTATTTCATCATTTAGGAGCAACATCCAAAGGTTTCTTGGCCTGCTAGAGATATTGAGCTCATGCATCTGCAGAAACTCCAGAAAACCGCTAATAACGCAATGATCTCGATTGCGCTGCAGAAGAGGATCGCTAGTATTCATGAGGTACGGTCTAAAAAAATGTAAGAACTAGATGAGTTTCACAACTATCGTTATCGAAATTGTTCTTAACTACTTCTCAGATGCTAAAGTTAAAATGCCACAGGGATTAAAAAAATCTCTTGACGTTCCCTAAGGGATGCGACATGTATTTCACTTCATTAAGTATCGTTGAAGGTGATTGAATGCATATCTGACTTTTACAATGAATCGCGGTGGCCTACCGATTTATCGAGCGAGTGCTCCTATCCTCCCAGACAAGTCTGGTACCAATTTACCGAGCCTGTGAGGATGGAAGGCTTGGTAGGCCAGGGGCAGCGGAGATCGATTACACGTGTGTGGTGCAGTGCGCCTCCTACCACTGCGCCACATGCGCTCTACTGCAAGAATAACATCGAAAAATCTTATAAAAAACCGCACGATACCAAGTTTTTGGTTTTTATAGACGCAGCTGCACATTGGATGTACACATTCCCTTTAAAATTTTGAAATTGCACTAAAAGCATATTTTCTAGCTAGCTGTATAGTTTAGGACAGACGCAACATTGAAGCTCTATTCAGTAGTCTAGTCGCCAATCTTCTTCCAAACGCCAGCGACAGGTATAATTGCCATTATGGACGGCAAGAACAAATCTACTTTAATCGGAATCTATGTGATCAATGTTTTTGCTCTCACTGCTCAGGCCGACAGCGTGAAAATTTAGGAAACAAATGATGGAGGGACGAAATGCTGTCGAAGATCTGAAGTGTCATAATGATGTGGTGAGGACGTTTGATTCGATCTGCATCGACGTGAACAAGGTAACACCCTTGCGATGTCAGTATTTGCAAAGTACTGAATTTACCTTAGTGAACGATAGTCAAAGTTAGCATTGGTTTGTCATCGCGCTAGCGTATCAGGCTAAAGTCCGAAAGAGGAAAAAAACTACAAAAAAAGAAGGAGAATTTAGAAAGTCTCATCCTGCCACCCCTTTACAGGCCATCCTTGCAGAGCGTGAAGATCGGATGATTCCCAAGACCGTCTTTTGTTAACCTCGGCATTGATTGATAGTTCGATGTTTTTCTTCAACAAGCTGGCACAAGGTTGTTATTATAGAATTTATTAGGATACAATAGCTGACGTTTCGGCGATTTCGCCTTCCTCAGAGCCTGGAAAGGTCAAATTGAGATGCGATCTACCCAGCCAAACACTTTCATAACCCCAGCAGATAAAACTTAACAAATAAATTTGTATTCGCATAAGAAACAGCTTCATTCAAACACCTACCGTTTATTTGTTTTATTTTAGTTGGTGGATAGCAGCCGCCCATGTATTACTCTGTGCGGCTGCTATCCACTAACCACCTTAAATACTTACAACAAATAAACGGCTCTGAAAAAGGCGAAACCGCCGAAACGTCAGCTATTGTATCCTAATAAATTCTATAATAACAACCTCGTGTCTACTTATTGAAGAAAAACATCGAGTCGGATAATTCACAAAACAGCAGATATGTGCGTAATCCAAAGTCTATATAAGTGGATTCTTATTCGGAAATGGAGACCTTTACTGAACTACTTATATACGTCGGAAGTCATTTACCGCAACAAAGTATTTAGTCGATGGCAGGAGTAAATGCGGTATCGTACTTGATAGCTGGTACGTGAATCGCCCATCCTCACTGGTTGAGCGGGCCACAGCATAATCTCCGCTTTTCGGGGATTTACATCCATTGTGATTCCTTGGAATCCCGAGGTCAGCCTGGCCAAAGTCTGCTCCAGGTCTTCACCACAACATACGGTCTCACCCTTGTGGATCAGCGGGAGATTTGCTACCACGGAACTTTGATACCAGGACGGTGGTGAATCCTGGTATTGGTTTACTCTACCAAGGAGATAAATATTCTCGGTGTACATCGCAGCCCGGTACCCGGTAACACCTTCTAGCCATGAAGACGCGGTAAACTGTTGGAAAGATTGCTGTATCAACGCCTGCAAAATAGTTTTTACGACTTCTCGTATTGCAGAAGTCGCTACTAAAGAGCAGCACACCACCAACTAACGGTTGAATATATTCAAAACAGTTTTAGCTAGTAAGTCTACTGAACCACTTTTTCGAGAATTCCGACCAAAGCTTGCATTTCCAATACGCGTCTGCTGGTGAATGAGAATATGCATATTCTTCATAAGAAAAATTCACACGCTTGAACCGAAGCCGGAGTTAAACCGCTCACTCATTTGTTTGCCTGTTTTCTAGATATTCGGCGTCAACTGGCATTAGTTAACGGAGCACACAGTAGTACCAATGGATTACCGAAACACTTCCGCATCTGTAAATTGCTTTTCTACTCCAATTTCAGTTCGACTATGCCTTGAAATACATCTACGTGCTGAATAATCTGTGCGTGAAGATCGGCGATTCGGAGAAGATCATCAGAGCAATGCACATGACATGTGCAACTTTGGGCAAGCAATACCTATAAGTGTATACTGTATGCCGTTACCGTCGTCTACTTAATTCACATGAGTGGCTTTAATAAATTTGAAAGCTCAGATCATCTCAATACACCGAAGTAAATTCTACTGCTTCCTAGACAGGGTTTTTTCCTTGTAAATTAGAAGGCTTCCAAATTAGATGTACGATCTTTCTAACCAAAGCAAACACGGAAGCACCATTCAAGCCTAGGAATCCAAGGAAATCATATCTTAGAGTTAGCTAGAAAAGTACGAAGTAATACCGTAGATTTTCAACATCTCTAATTTGTTGACTAGTCGGTGCAAGACATGAATTTTATTGGTCAGAAACAGTAGAAGAATAATTATTGGTCGCCGTTCAACATCAGGCCACGGTAACTCTGAGCATGCGAAATCGCACTACTTATTAGTGTAACGAGCGAAACGGAAAATGGAACAACGAACTGGAGTTATACTACTCCACAATGATGCTGAGGTGTTTGCAGAACTCCAAACCGCAAACGTCTGCAATGAGGATTGATCTCGGTATTACCCTCTCCGCGGCTAACGCGCTCACCACCACACCATGCTTGTCCTTCGCTTCGCCTTTCTCTCAACCCTGTTTTAACATATAGTTGCTATCAACGATCACCCGTCTCAGCAACGTTGTAGTTACACTTCACATCATAGCCTTCCATGACAAAGAACTGGCAGTAGATAAAAATTCACTAGATTGAAAAGGGGCTATTCTACATTTTCGTACAATTTTTGCATTCATCGTAAGAAAGAATCGAAAAAGGAGGAAAAAATAATCATTCAGAATATGTGAGTTTGCAAGATCGTCCTCAAATTACATCTGCTATGCTCATCCCAAGACCTAATTTTACTCCGTCGAGGTATAATTTGCCTCCCTAATACTTTCTCAATCCAGCAGGCATTATTTCTGACCACGAAATTTGCGGTCAGTCGCTTCTTTACGCCTAAGAAGCTCGATTTTGTTAACAAAAGTCTATTTCATGACGGAAGTAGTCCGAATTCGGTAGTAATATGACGAAAGAAATGTCAGACAAACAGGTTACTCGAAAATTTTATGAATGGAAATGAAATCTTAGACTCAGGAATGGAATACGACTTTAGCAAAATTTGCTCAACGATCTTATACTGCCGTCAGGAATTCTACCTAATAAGCTTTATTAAGATCTGAAATCATTGCTAATGAAATGGTTTAGACGTCCTTTGACTTTTCAGTCGTACTCACATCCCAAGTGCTTTAAAGTATGATATCGATTATTAAGCAGCAATAAACAATTAGGACACCTTATAGCAAATATTGCCAGAACAGTTACTATTCTTTCATCATATAGTAAGTCTGTGGTAACCGTACTCGTGGCCCCTCACATCACTTTGCGATTTTGCAGCATGTAAACGATTTCACTTCGTTGAGAGAAGCTTTGGTGGTCGTAAGCATCCTTTGTAATCCACACTCTTTATACAATCGGAACCTTTTCTGTGTTGCATCTGTTTCAAATCATCACGGGTACGGTAACACAAAGGGGCATGAAGCTGTCCAGCAAATCATCCTCAGTCATCTGATCACGAAGGAGCTGGAAACGGAAGTTGTTGTGTGTTTTCAAAAAAGGTTTTGGACCTGTGCCAAAACACCGCCTCCTCCAGAAGATATTTAAATAGCCTTTGAGTCAATACCGTATTCGCCCCTCTCTTCATCATGTGTAATACGCCTTGTAGTTAATCCAAGGTGTTCTCTCTTGTTGTATGTGGTCACTGTTGTATATTAACTTTCCTCTCATGTACCTCTGAACACGCTAAATTTATTGCGTGTTCACATTAGCCTCATCGCAGTATACTCATACGCTTACATGCATTCTTTAATACGTTAACCTAATCGCATTGTATCTACAAGTGAACACATAACCTCATCGCAATGTTGCAACAAGTTTACATGGCGCTCTTAACGTGTTAACCTCATCAAAACCGCATCGCGAGCCTACATATAGTGTGTAGCTCTTTAGTATTGTTGTTTGTGAGTCAGGTATTACGGCCTTATATAAATCTCTTAATGCGCTTGATTCATGTGACACTCTTGAGGTATTCTAAATGCTCATGGCAGTGTTTTACTGGCCTATAGCAAAGATACTAACCCGCATTACGCTCATTTATTGATCATGGTACAATATTGCAGTCTGTATCGTGCCAATGTTTATACTTCGTTGTTCTTGAATTATCATTGTTCTAAACGGTTTAATTACCCAAGTTTGAAATATTGCTCTGTGAAAGCACGAAAAAGTCCTGCGTGGCAACTTGGCAACTTCTACGAAGTCGAGCATGCTACTCAAAGCTAGTGATCATAAGGTGCCGAGAACTGACTCGAAGCCTAATTTCCACTGCCAACTGCTATAACCTAGTCACCATAGAGCAAAAAAAACTCAGCGTTGATCAATCCCTGAAGGATGCGCCATGCATTCGACTTCACTAAGGACCGTTGGAGGTGACTGAATGTATATCTGGCCTTTATAACGACTCGCGGTGGCCCACCGATGCACCGTGCCAGTGCTGCTCTCTTCTCAGACAAGTCTGGTACTAATTTGCCGATCCCGGAGAGATGAAAAGCTTGCTGGGCCATGGGAGCGGAGCAATTTTGGATTGGATTTGCATGATGTGGTGCTAATAATTAATTTAGAAAAAAGAACGGAAATTGAGAGAGTGATGAAAGATTTCGATTGGCTTATTAAATACCCTAAATTCTTCGCGCAAAACTGTTGAAGGCAATTTTCAGTGATGCTCAAGACGCCGAACTATTGAAAAAACCGAAAGGAAATTGCACGTGTATTAATGCCACCACAAAGGCGATTGTGGCGCAGTGGTCGGAGGCGCTTTGCAACACACATGAAATCGATCTCCGCGCCCATGGCCCACTAAGCCTTCCATCCCTCAGGGGTCAACAAATTGGTAGCAGACTTATCTGGCAACATAGCAGCACTGGTTCGATACATCGCTAGGCCTCCGTGGGCCGTTGTAAAGGCTAGATACGCATTCAATCACTTCCAAGCGATGTTTGGTGAAGGCGAGTGAATGATGCATCCCTCAGAGATTGATCAAATCAGAGAGCTTTATTCTTTTATCCTTTTACTGCATGTAGCTATGCTGTCACAATACCGCTAAGATAAATAGATTGATAATCCTTGCCTTATGTTTCGACACTAATATTTCTTCGACTGGTTTCCCTTTTCACAATCGGCATCCATGGAATTGGTCTGGCCTGTGTGTACCTAATCGGCAGTGTCCTACTGGTATATCATATTCTTTTCTTACTAAATGTACTAATTAATGAACGGTAGCGATTTTCCTTACAGCTCTAAGATTGGGCGTTTTTTGTTTTCACAATGGAGGTTACCTCCGTTGCTACTTCTGGCGGATGTTTAATTTCTTGCGTCTGGAATTTTTGTGAGAGTATGGAGGTTTCCATGGCAACTAGGATCATTGGAAAATTAAGGCGTAATTTCGCATTCACCCACTACATCGCTATTATTGATATTATTGATGTGAAAGGAGCTCTTGTGCCGAAAATCTTTGTTAATTTCGAAGAAATCCGCAGATATACGTGGTCGTAGATATAAGTCTTGAAACTTTAATTTTTTAGCAATCCACATCCAGGAAAGCTCTTCAACCGTCAACACGGTCCTGAGATCTCCCGCGGACTGAAAATTGACTACAAAGTCAAGGCAAATTTTCAGTGATTGAAAGATTGAATCTCACAGAAGCTGTGAATCGGGCGACCGCATGATCAATAGTAAAACCTCAATCTCCAACAAGAAATGGTATTTATTGATTGCAGAATTTTATCCATGCAGGGTAAATAGGTTATGGCCTCAAATTTCTTAAATGTTCTCCAAGGAGATGCGGAGAAGGTCACAGTTGGTAATGGCCGTGCCATTCATAGGTAAGAGATAAAAACATTACATACTGGAGATAAATGTTCGTATTTGATCTTTGATTAGAAGCAATCCCTTTCTCTCTGAGTAGATCCTGTGACTGCTGCGAATGCCGTCAAGTCATCCTGGGGAACGTATTGCGATAATGACATGGACCTACCATGTCTTGGTGGTCTTTTCTCAGTGAACTGGATGCGCGTCTCCGAAACTGTACAGTTCTGTTCTAATAATTTCTCACATTAAAGCACAACAATGATAAAAATACCCTTTCAGTGACCAGTAAATGAAGAGTAGCACGGTGATAAAAGTCCGCGTTAGCTACAAGAAAATAACACTATCATGAAGATAACAAGATCACACATGGCTATCCAGCTATAACTTCAACTAAGATGTCAATTTATAGACTCTCAAAGCACAAAATCCTCAGTGATCACTGAACGAGAGGCCTAAGTTAAATTATTTGATAGACGAATGAGTTTTTGAATGTCACTAACAACCGTCGGTTTCAGAATAACATTAACGTAGAGACGCTTATAAAGAAATTCGATGATGTAAAGAAACCGACGAACTTGTCACATGCGATGCACTACGGTAATTTCAAAATCGCAAAAGAGCCAGTAAGTTTGTTTGAGGGAGGAACAGACAACTATCGTGCCGCCGACAATGACTTACGACGTCGAGGTTAGCGATTCGCTTAAGCACTGCGGAAGTTCTCGCTCCTCTAAATAAGTTCTGCAATATTTGCTTGCTGACATCGAAAGCTTGTTTGCAAAATTTTCCACCATTTAGGGACAGTACCCAAAATTTTCTTGGTCTGCTAGAGTTATTGAGCCTATGCACCTACAAAAACTTCGAAAAACGACTAACAGCGCGTTAATCTCGACAGCACTGAGGCAGAGAATCACTAAAATTCATGAGGTACAGTTCCGCAAAAATATGTAGGAATAAAAACATTGCGTTCATAAATTGAGACTATTTTCAATGACTTCTCATGGGTTCATCGTGGAATACTAGTGAAAGGAGGCTGAAACCTCTCATGAAATACTCTATAGGTACCAACTTTTGAAGACCTCACAAAAAGAATCCTGTAGTAAAGATTTTTACCTCTGACCTTCCAAGATATCTCAAAAGCAATATTTCCTCATCAAATTAGACAATTTAGGAAAGACACAAAATTGAAGCTCTATTTAAGAGTCTAGTTGCCAACCTTCTTCCCAACGCCGAAGACAGGTGCAGCTATTACTATATTTGAGTCGAGCAAATCTACTACGCTGAAATCTTAATTGACCAATTTACATCCTCACTGTACTCACTGAAATAGTAAAAATCTAGGGAACAAGAGATGGAGGGACGAAATCCTGTCAAAGATCTAAAGTACCATAATGACATGGTGAAGGCGTTCAATTCGATCTGCATCGGCGTGAACAAGGTAATAATCTCTTGCCGACAGTACATGTGAAGCTTTACAGTTATGTTACCGAATGATAGTGGACGTTAGCACTTTTTCCATAAACGCATCAGATATGAATCACCTCATATATTAAAAGAAAGTTGTCGGTTGGCTTACAACTGCAACAAAAAAGTCGTGTGCCTCAGCATGTTCATGCAACTCTAAATTTACACTTTTCAAAACTTAATTGCTGCTATTGGACTGCTCATAGTAATCGTTGCTAGCAAAGAATTGTTTCTACCTCTGAGCAATCATGGTGAAGATTCAAGCAATCGTCTTTTCGATTCTCGCGACTGCTTGTGATGAGGAAATGAGTCTGTAACAGCACAGGTACGGCTACTCTACATGTTCAACAATTACCCAGAATTTCTTCAAGCTTCTTAGGTTGAAGCCGACCATGTCTATGGGTGATGGTCTCAGGACCACGAAAGGAAAGGAGTGCTGGTATTTAAGGCAATCCAATCAATGCTGTTGTTGAATAATTGGAAGATCTTCTGTCTACTTTGGCAGTTCTTCTTCAGCTGTTCAAATGTTCGCAGTTCTTCTCAAAAAACTGCTTAACACGTAACACTCGATATGTTCGGTGAAATGCATTTCATAAGAAATTAATCGGCATTTTTGCTTGAAACCTATATCCTAGTTTGTAATAAATTTTAGTGGCTTCAATAGTTGTTGCCCATGAGAAACAAGTTATTCTGTCGTGCAAAGGTGAAATTCTGGTCTTCTAATGCAATCAACGGATGTATTCCTCCAACATTTGCGACAGTACTCATGTTATGCACATAATAGTAATCGAACAAGCGGAATATGATGCAGTAAAATAAAAAGATAAAGCTCTCGGCGTTAATCAATCCCTGAGGGACGCGCCATGCATTCGACTTCAATAAGCATCTTTTGGAGGTGATTGAGTGCACATATGGCCTTTACAATGACTCGCGGTGGAGTCTGGTACCAATTTGCATACCCTGGAAAGATGGAAGGCCTGGTGGGCTATGGGCGCTGGGGTCGATTCCACGTGCGTGTAGCAAGGCGCCTCCGACAACCGCGCCACATGTGCCCTTGTGCAGCAAGATACAATGATATCTCCTAATGTAGCGTTTGTGTTTGAGACAGTTTTTTTGCGTCGAAAATCTAAATAATTAAAACTTTGTTACCAATTTTTTGAGGATTTGAGTTCCGAGCAAGTTTCAGATTTAAAAGGTACTGTACAGAAATTACAGAGTGTTAACACAATAAGGTGAAGCCTCTTTGACGAACTCATGTACTTTTTTTTTATTTTGTTTAATTTCATCCGTCTTTAGGTCTACTGCGCGGATCCCAGCTCTTCTCACATTCGATTCGTTTCCTCGCATCCACCATCCACGAAGTTCTACCAAGTTTCTACGTGTGGCTTCGACTGCTGCCTGAGGATCATCATTTCGGCGGAACTACAGCGCAGAATCATCATTAGTTTTCATATACCCCACCATTCGCTCAAAACTAGTGTGGCTGAAAGTTGGAGATCTTATCGACATCGTTCTAGTCTTGAACCAATTCTTGTAGTTTTAGAGACTTCAGAAAGTAGTAGACCCTGAAATGGTCGGGTTGCAGAATATCCGTCGAGGTTCTTAAGTATGAACAAGCTCTCCACTAAATAGTGATCGGTCCGTGTTATTTCTTTAAGTATTCTCATGCTAAAGAGAGTCTGCTCATATTTAAAATATTTTCGCCACGAGAAAGAAATAGAGCAGAGATCTACTGATTACAAACTCATAATAAGGCATGCTGTGGCAGTCCTAACGAAAATACACTAGAATCATCTCCTTAATTTTTTTTAAGACCCGTCTTTCATAACTGCTCTGCGGATCGCAGCACTTCTCACATTCCATTTGTTTCTACGCATCCACCATCCACGAAGTTATACCAAGTTTTTACGTGTGGCTCCGATTGCTGCTTGAGGATTATCATTTCGTCCTGAATGTCGTAGAATCCTGGTCGAGTAGATCCTTCCTAGAATCCTGAGATAGCCTAGCTGGAGCCTTCCCAATTAAATTGCAGAGAGTCATTTTTTTCCCAGACAACACCGATAGCAATTTACCGACCCCGGAGGGTTGGTGGGCTTGGTTGGCCCGGAGCGGAATCGAACAAGCACCATCCTCGTAATGATGTACATCACTACCACTGTGCTATCTTCCATGCATGTACTTATTAACTTGTCAAATACTCTAGCAATCGAGAAATAACCTTCAGTTGTCGAAAAAACAGCTTAATTAATAGGTTTTGGAACAAAAACTTTCTCGTAATCAATTGTAAAACGTGGAATGTGTCGTTTTCTTGTTCAGCAATCGCGAGGTTTTTAAACAGCATACATTTACTTCCATAAAAACACAATACAATACAACGCTAGCTGACGTTTCGGCAGTATCGCCTTCTTCAGAGCCTGGAAGGGTATACTGATATACAATCTACTGTGCCAAACGCTTCAATAACACTTACACGAAGACGAAAGACTCTTTGGTAATTACATGATCAACAACTTCTCGAAAAAACCCACCGCTTTTTCGTGACTTCCAATGAGGAAGTTTAGAACAGCTGATTATAGTCGCATATGGTTGACGACTGCACCATCCCACATCAAAAATAGATGCGAACATCCGGGATCAGGTCGCGTATGACTTCCGGGCATTCTTCCCTGCTATTCATTGTAGGGTTTTTGGCATTGATCTAAAAAGCCTCTAGGAGTTTTCGCGCTAGTGTTTTGGACACCTGTGCAAGGATATTGACTTTTACTTCAAAATCGTCTCCGCTATGCTTTTGTATCCTATGCGTGCCTAGTGGGGTGCTTCGTCTTAGTTTTCGTTTGCCATCNAGGTGTTCTTTTATACGGATACACAAAGGTCTGCCCGTTTCGCCAATATATTCATCTCCGCAATTGTTACACGAGATCAGGTATATCGTACCTGAACTCATGCAATCACCGTTCCTGCCGTAAGGGCAAATTACGCAATTTGTTGTTTCACACAGACGGTCATACAGGCGGTTGCGAACTAATTGGCGATGTAGAGTAGTCGGTGGTATTTCAACTATCGCTACCGATTCCTCTAGATCTGCCCTTCTTAAGCATCGTTTTATAGCTGCGCTTACTTCATCGCTTATAAAAGGCAACATAAACGGGATTTTGTTTTGGCCAAGTGTTTCGCGCCGGCGCGTCGTTTCCCTTCTAAACCTATCTCGTGGGGTTACTATTTCGTAGCCATTGGAGATGGCTATTTGCCTGACCAAGTCGCCCGATTCTTCCTTTAGTTCCCTAGTAGTGCACACAGAGGTGGCTGTTCGAAACATGTTTCTCACAATCGCCCTCTTTGTGTGTGAAGGGTGGGAAGAAAGGAAATGGACAAGGATGTTCTTGTTACTTGGCTTTCGATACCACTTTGTCAGGTAACCGCTACTTGATAGGTTCATTTGGATGTCCAAAAACGGAAGCCAGTTTTCTCTCGGTTTCTCCCGGGTGAACTTTACGTACTCGGACTGCTCGTTTAATAATTCGAAGCATTTGTCCATCTCCTCTTGCGTAGAGAAGACGACAAAACGATCATCTACATATCTGCAGTAGAGTAGTGGCCGGAGATCGAGAGCAGGGGCTTCTATCTTAGACATAAACACAATGGCCAGGCTTGGTGCCAATCGCTGTCCCATTGCCAACCCCCTTATTTGCGCGAAATATTTCGCAGATCATCTGATGATCGAGCAGTTTAGGCACTCTTTTAAGAGAGCCATTAGCTGCTGGATGGACAAGCCATGCATATTTATTCTTCCTTCATGTTCAACAAGAAGTTCGAAGATGGCTTGCATTGCGGAGTCATTCGATACGTTGGTGTACAGTGCGCTAACGTCGAAAGACTCTATCACGTACGCGTTATTAGGAGAACGTAGACGTTCTAGGAACATTTGGGTGTTTGTGAGGTGAGCTGGAATGTGGTTAAGCAACTGGGTAAGTATCAGGCTTAAAAACTAGGTTATTCTATCCGTTGGCCCGTCTACACAGCTGATGATCGGTCTAACCTTAAATGATGACGGATTGGTTGACGCAAGGTCATCAGGTGATACGAACGTATGTGTTTTAATAAGTAGGTATAGGACGGGACATGTTGGTCTATCGACTTTAAAGTGCGAAATAACCGATGATTTTAAACCCGCAGCCTTTGCCACGCTGACCCATTGATTATTTAGTTATTTAGATATTTAGATAGATAGATATTTATAACATGATAACATGATAGCATGATAACATGATAGATAACATGAATGTTGAATCAGCGGAAGATTGGAAAGTGTTTTGAATAAATCTGAATGCTGAGATTATGTTCACAATGTTTCCTTTTTATTTTCTGCCTCGATAGAACTAGCTGAGAGGCAGGCAAAACGAATGACCCTCATGGTGTGGTGGTGAACGCGTTACACCCCGGCAAGGACAATAGCGCGTTCGTTCCCCACCGCATACAACTGCGGTCCGGAGTTTTGCAAATATCTCAGCATCATTGCGGTTATATTTCACAATGTATACCCTGCCGTTAAAAAGAGTAGCAGTAGATGAAAAAGGTTAAGATAGGTGGATGATATTTCGATGCATTGATTTAAGTGCATGCCAGCATAAGGTAAAAAAGAAACCATTTTATACCGCAAGCATCGAAACTTAGGCGGCATCGCAAATATGTACAGGAACAGCTTAATAGACAAATTTACAGAAACTGTTACCACATTGAGGTTGGAATGTGCTTCTATGAAAAACCATGTGAGCCGCTGCAACCGTGGATTCTCCATCTGTGTTTCTTGCTGTCAAATCGGTACGATTTTGTTTTTGTTGCAAATTTAACGTCATTACATTTTGTTATTTGGTCTTCATATCTACTCTACACATTCGATTTGTTTCATCGCCCTCGATAAGCTAAGTAGTGGTTGAGGAGTACGAATTCTGAGGATTCATACCATAGGCCGCTTATGACGACAACGATATGGATTCTGACACGCGT